CAATTTTGAAAATAATCGAATTTTACGAAGAATTTCTTTCAAGTTTTTAAAATGATCGTGTTTGTTAACAATTGTAATTAAAATTTTGATTATTGAATTTTATTGAAATTTTTTTAGAAATAATTGAATTCATCTCAGAATTTTATTACAATTTTTCAAAGTGACTGGATTTTTTCGATAAAATATTTTAATAATTGTACTTACTAAAAATTTATAAAATAAATGAATTTATGCAAAGAAATTTATTACTTATGAAAATAATTGAATTCTTATAAAACATTTTATCAAAATTTTTAGGAATAATTGAATTTCTTCCAGAATTTTAGTATAATTTTTTAAAATAATTGAATTTACACGAAGAAATTTATTATTTATGAAAATAATTGAATTCTTATAAAAAATATTATCAAATCTTTTGAGAATAATTGATTTAATACCGAATTTTCTATTTACAATTTTTGAAAATAATTGAATTATTTGGAAAAATATTATAAAAATCCTACTGCAAATAATTGAATTCACACGAAGAAATTGATTATTTATGAAAATAATTGAAATCTTATAAAAAATATTATCAAAACTTTTGAGAATAATTGAATTTTTGTACAGAATTTTTTTACTTTTTATAAAAACAATTGAATTATTTCAAAGAATTTTATTGAAATTGCATTGAAAACAGTTGAATTCAAACAAGTGTTTTTTTCAAATTTTAAATCTAAAATCATTCAAAAATTGAAATTGATATTCGAAAATATATTTTATTTCAATTTATATATTTTGAAAAAATAATTTTCCTTTTACTAAGGAAAAAAATCTGGTTGTAATAAAACGAACTTTAATTTTTAATGACACTAATAATAGAAACCACATTAATTCCAATAAATCTCGTTGCGTGTCATCAAAAAATAATTCTTTTGCATACGTAATCGAAAAGAATTTTTTGAACCCATTAACCCATCTCGATAATTGTATCCAAACATGAATCCCCCTTTAAAAAATTCAACATTAGGCAATTTATCAAAAAAAAAAATAATAATAATTCGGTCACTCATTTTCTAATTAATAAAGTACCTAAACTATAATTTTTCTTCTATTAAAAGACAATTTTTTTTTCAATTCCATTTACGTTTCCTTCTATAAAAATTAATTTTACTAATTTCAATATTGAATTCTTCTTTTGTTAAATAGAAAAATATAAATAAATTTTTAAATACACAATGAATATTTTAACAGCGTTTTGTAACAACAATAATAATAATAATAATAATAATAATAATAATAATAATAATAATAATAATAATAATAATAATAATAATAATAATATATATAAGTATGAATTTATCACTCGATCGAAATAGTTATATGGGAGAAATAATAATAATAATAATAAATAAATTGTTATTTAATAATAATAATAATAACGCAGCCTAATGTTTATAATATTTTTACAACTGTTAAACAGGTACTTTTAGTACTTTATGTACGAATGGGACTCAATGCCCGCAAATGAATAAATAAATAAATAAATAATAATAATAATAATAATAAAAAATAATAATAGTAATAAAAATAATAATACGTTTTGTAATAACTTTCACACCTAATTTCAGTGAAATTACTAATTGGAAATTTTTTCCAAATAAAAAAAAAACTTGGTAATAAATAATTTACCTCTCTAGAGATTTCTCTTTTTCCAAAGAGAATGGCGAAAATTAATTTTAATACCTCCAAGCGGCTAGTTTTAATTATTATTGTCACCGCACTTTTATAAAAATTTTTCACTTGAATTTTTCTTTTTTCTCCCCACACAATTTTCACCTAGGCGTTTATTATAATGAGTCATACGAGTATATTTCGCTCTGGAAAACGTTTCTCGATATTTTGATAGCAAATTTCATTGTATAGAATAAAGAGAAGGAAATTAACATTATTAAGTGCGGGAGGAAAAATAAAATACGCTAAATGGTCAAGTAATGAAGTTAACTATACAAATATATATATATAGATATATATTTAAGCGTTTATTATATCGCGCGACGAATGCGGGAGTTTAGAGCGAATAAGGATACTCAACGGGTTCTGATAATTGAAATAAGTGCCATTTTAACAATACGATACGATATATACCATCGTCGACAGTCTCGCACTACTGTTGGAAACTCTCTCTCTCTCTCTCCGCAATAACTGAAACTCAAGTGTTGGATATAGAAGGGGTGCTTTTCAAGCACACTCTCTCGTTTTGTCACCTTTAGCTTTTCCCTTTCCTATATTATATAAAATAAAGGGTTTGGAAAACTGAAGCACAGTCGCACAAAACGAACTACTTTACTATTCAGAGACATGTTTACTCTATTCTGCGCATATAACCACAAAATTGACACTTTCATATGTCAATTGACTAAATTTTCCCCTCCTCGTATTATAGCTATTCGTGCGTTTTATCAACGCGGACAATTTAAATATTGACGAGACAAGACTTAGCTATTTAATTTACATTTTAATTTGTAACAGTCATTTTGTGTGAATGTGTGTGTGGGTGAAAGAGACTATATAGAGAGTGAGACAGACAGTCGTAAAACAGAAATGCTGTCGTGTGAAATCCTGTTTTAAAACATTTAATTACATTTCGTCAGATTACTTTTAATTATAAATTTGAATTTCACTCACTGCTTTGTTAATTATTTAGCTACGTTGCGATTATTTGTGGGGAAAAAAATTATCAATATTTTTTTTTTTTGGATGGAAGGAAATTCGCAATATTTTTTTGCTGGGAAAAAATTGGAGAAAAAGAAAGTTTAGATATTTTTGTATTAATTATAAATATTAAGGAATTTTTAGTTTCCGTTTGATTCAAATTTTGCTGATTTCAAATGTGACATCAGATTTTCAAAATTGAAAATAATTAAACTTTCTTGTACGAGGAGAATTGAATTTCGCAAAAATTGTTATTTGATTTATAAAAATAATCTTCATTACGAAAATTTTAATTATTCTGAAGAATAAAGGAGGGTAAAAAAATTATTATATATTCAACTTTCTGAACAAAGAATATAAATAATGTTTTTTTTTAGAGAATTTTCACTACTTTTAATTCGCTTATTTTCAAAAAAATTTCGAAAAAATCAATTATTTAAACAAAAATTTTATGCAATTTATTTTGCACAATAATTCAATTACTTTCACTAATAATAAAATTTTTCAAAAAAAAAAATTTAAGCATGAATTTAATTATTTTCATAAATAATAAAACTCATTGAAGAATTTCAATTATTTTTGTTACTATTTTAAAATAATTGATCGAAAAAATTCAGTTATTTTCACAAATAAAGTTTTCCACAAGAATTCAATTATTTAAACTAATAAAATTTTCATTATATTTAAATTTATTATATTTCAATGAAAAATTAATTATTTAAAACAATGTTCATCAAATTCTTATGAAGAATTCAATTACTTTCGAAAAAAATAAAATTTTTCATAGAAATTCAATTTTTTTGAAATATTTTAATAAATTTTTCCGAAATAATTCAATTATTTTCAAAAATAATAAAATTCTTTTCTGTAATTCAATTATTTTTGAGAATTATAATAAAATTCCTAGCAAACTATTCAATTATTCTCGTAAATAATAAAATTCATAGCAGGATTTCAATTATTTTTAATACAATTTTAGAGGAATTGCTAAAAAAATGTAATTATTCTTAAAAACTTAATTTAAATTTCTCGAAATAATTATTTAAAAAAATGAATTTTTAGTATTTTTTGGAAGGAATGAATAATTATTTTCAAAAATTTAATGAAATTGTTCGAAATAAATTAATTGTTTTAAATACAATTGTAATTAAATTTTTTTTAAATAATTCAATTACGTCGATATGTAAATAAGAAAATTATTCTCGAAAATTCAATTATTTGGAGATTATTTTAATAAATAACAATATTCATCACAATAATTCAATTATTTTTAAAAGTAATAAATTTTGTTCTTCGAAATTCCATTATTTTAAAAAAATTCTAATAAATCGTTCGCAAGAATTCTATTATATTCATAAATAATAAAATGCTTTTTATGAATTCAATTATTTTCAAAAAAATTTAATAAAATTTCTCAGACATTCAATTATTGACAAATTTTTTAATAGAATTCTTTGTAAAATTTAATCGGAGTGATCGATTTCTTCATGTTTTATAATAATATAAAATTTATAATAATAAAAAATTTATAAAAATAATTAAATTATTGCGAAGAAATTTATAAAAAAAAAATTGTAAATAATTGAATTCCTGTGGAATTTTTATTGAAAATAATTAAAATGTCTGTGTACAACTTTATTAAATGTTTTTTTAGATATAATTGAATTCTTTTCGGAAAAGTTTATTAAAATAGTCGATATTGAAAATAATTGAAATTAAGACACGAATTTTATTGTCATTTTTCAAAATAATTGAACTTTCGTGAAATTTTTTTTATTTACAAAGATAATTGAGATTTTAGCGAGAATTTTTTTTTTAATTTTGAACATAATTGAATTTTATGAAATTTTATTACTTTTGAAAATAATTGATTTTCTGCAATTATTTGTAATTTCTTAAAAATTGAATTTTTTTTAGTGTTTTCAATCAAAATTTGAATTACAATTTTTTAAATTCTATTATTTTTGAAATTGCTAATTTTATTTAAAAAATGAAAAAAAAAGTTAGCCGCGCGCTTTAGCGCGCGAATTGTTGCTGGTTAATTATAATGTTTATTATAATTGAATTGTTTCGAGGAATTTTATTAAAATCTTTGAAAATAGTAAATATTAACACACGTCATTGTATTATAATATTTCGACTACGTTGTTTATAATGTAAGTGAATCCACATCTCTTAATGATGCAATAAACATTTTATTCGCTTCTAATTCAATAATTATCCAACTAATGGAACAGTGCTTCAGAATCCATTAAGTCCTAAAATTATTCTCCTGGAATTATTACATTCTAAAATTGTTTACATACCTTTATGTCCAATATTGAGTTCCGAAAATTTCAATCCCCACGCTTAGAGTCGTCGTTTTCGTGGTCGCATATCTTTTCTAAAATGAAAATTAAAAAATTGTTAATTCAAAAGAAATTAAAATACAATTTTAATTATATAAGGCAGACTTTCAAGAAAAATGCAATTATAAATTTAATTACGAATACTCCATATTTGAAAATTATAGGATTGATAATAATAAACACAAAAGATAATAATAATGTTAATAAAAATAAAAATAAAAAAAAAATAAAAATAAAAAAAAAAAATAATAATAATAATAATAATAATAATAATAATCGCATAAGAATAATAATTTTAATAAAAGCAAAAGTTAACCTTTAGAATTTTTATAACCAATTTTTTGAATACGTGACTAATTATTGGAATAAATTTTAATTTATAGAAAAAGGAAATAAATTCCCTCCAAGTTGAACGTTCGAAACTTTAAGGGAGATTGATTTTGTAAATTCAATGTATGTAAACTTTGAATTTAAAGTAAACTAAGTGATTGTTTGAAAAAAAAATAAAAGTTGAGAAAAAATATATTCTCATTATTTTACATTATAAAGTATTGAACAAACTTTTCTCTGACTTCAGTTAATTGTCCTTTGTGTTGAAGTTTATAAACTACTTTTGTTTTCGTGAAAGTATTTTTCAACTAAATTGAATTTAATTGCGAAATAAAGAAAACTTATAGGTACTCTTATTAAAGATTTAAAGAAAAATGTTAAATTATTTCTCCCTTAAATTTTCCAATAAGAATATAATGCGGAAAATAATTAATTGTTTGTAACATCTTTTCACTGAGTTTTAGTTACAGAGAAATTGGTTTGAGAAGAAAACTAACTAATAAGAATAGCAGTAAATTAAAGAAAAAATAATTCTGTAATGTATGAAAAATATAATTTTTTTATGTTTTTAATTTTTATATAATTTAATTTGAATAAATCAAATTTTTTTTAATTTGAAATTTGAACAAAAAAAAAATTATAAAAAGAGAAAAAAATTCGTTTTTTATATGGATTAATGTACAAAAGTGCCAATTGCGAAAATTTGGGTCACAACCTTGAAAAGACGAGTAGATAATAGAAAGAAGAACGAGAGAAAGGTGCCCCATACGTAAATTCATGAATAATATTTGAAAAGAACCCTAACCCTCAGCGTTGCATGATAAAGGTATCATTAACCAAATTGCTTCCTTTACACGAAAGTCGCGTTAGGGGCAAAATTTCAAGGGTTACATTGGGATAGGAAAATGGACGTCTATCTTATGTGTATATATAGGTGTAGTATCAATTTAACGAATGTACCTTTAGTAATATAATGAAACTTTGTATATAAATGCGACTCTCTCGATATAACCACAATTCCCTGTCCAATGTATTTAGAATTATATTCAATGCAAATATTCAATCCTCTATAGATGTAATGAATTGCTTTCTAGGAAAATTTATCGAAACTCGCGCTCATAAAATTTGTCTTACGTTTCAACCATTGCAGGTCAATTAATTATTTCGTATAGTTATCGTTGAATCATAATTTGTCATTTTTTTGATAAAAAATGTATTTTAATGGTTTTTTCGAAAGAAATTAGGAAAGATTTTTTTTTATTTTTTTCTTAGTGATGGGGATATGGATTTTATTGTCATTATTTCATCGTTAGTAATATATTTACCAGATTGACGATTTGAATTGTCGGTGATTTATAAATAATACTGGAGAGCGTTCACGTAATTTTAACATAAAAATTACCACACTAAACAAATTTTTACTTTCACTTACAAAATTTCTACTTTCACTTTCACTCAAAAGATGTTTACATTCATTAAAAAAGAAAATTATCACTTTTACTAATAAAAATTTTGACTTCACTCAAAAAAATTCTCACTTTAACTTTCACTAAAAGGATTTTCACATTTATTCAAAAAAAAATTCTCAGTTTTACAAACAAAAATCTTGACTTCACTCAAAAAGTTTCACTTTAAAAACTTTCACATTCCTTAAAAAAATTCTCACTTTCACTAAAAAAAATTTGCACCTTCACTAAATAAATGTTTACTATCACTCAAAAAATTCGTACTTTATCTTTTACTAAAAGGATTTTTACATTTATACAAAAAAAAAATTATCACTTTTACTAATAAAAATTTTGACTTCACTCAAAAAAATTCAGTTTCACTCAAAAAATTGTCACTTTCACATTCAGTCAAAAAATTTTAACATTTCTCAAAAAAATGTTCACTTTCACTAAAAAAATCTTACCTTTACTCAAAAAATGTTCACATTCACTCAAAAAGTTTCACATTCACTTTAAAAATTTTCACATTCCTTAAAAAAATTCTCACTTTGACTAAAAAAATTTGCACCTTCACTAAATAAATGTTTACTATCACTCAAAAAATTCGTACTTTATCTTTTACTAAAAGGATTTTTACATTTATATTTTATACAAAAAAAAATTATCACTTTTACTGATAAAAATTTTGACTTCACTCAAAAAAATTCAGTTTCACTCAAAAAATTGTCACTTTCACATTTAGTCAAAAAATTTTAACATTCCTCAAAAAAATGTTCACTTTCACTAAAAAAATCTTACCTTTACTCAAAAAATGTTCACATTCACTCAAAAAGTTTCACATTTACTTTAAAAATTTTCACATTCCTTAAAAAAATTCTCACTTTGACTAAAAAAATTTGCACCTTCACTAAATAAATTTTTACTATCACTCAAAAAATTCTTAAAAGATTTTTATATTTATTAAAAAAAATTCTCACTTTTACTAACAAAAAAGTTTTGACTTCACTCAAAAAAAGTTCAATTTAAATTTTTTAAAAATGACACTATCACAGTCACTCACAAAATTTTCACATTCACTCAGTAAATTTTACTTTCTATAAAAAATTCTCACTTTTGCTCACAAAATTTTTACTTTCATTAAAAAAATTCTCAATTTTACTCGCAAAATTGTCGCGTTTACTAAAAAAATTTTGACTTTTACTTAATAAATTGTCATTTTTATTTTGACTCAAAAAATGTCCACCTTCCGTAAAAAATTCCCACTTTTATTCAAAAAATTTTTACTTTCACTTCGACTAAATTATTTTTATTTTCACTGAAAGAATTCTCCCTGTCACTCAAAGAATGTTTACTTTGACTTAAACTATTTTTTAATTTTACTTGAAAAATTTTGAATTTTGAAGTAGAAGTGAAAATTTTGGGGTGAAATTGAAAGTGAAAGTATATTTTAAGTGAAATTGAAAGTGAGAGATTTTTAAGGAAAATTAAAATTGGAAATTTTTTACAGATTTTCTTTTGGCATAATTTTCTTTTTGACAGATTTTTCTTTCTGTATAATTTTCTTTTGACATAATTTTCTTTAGGCAAATTTTTTCAGCAGATTTTTCTTTTATCAATTTTTTTGACAGATTTTGCATTTTGCAGATTTTTATTTTTCTTTTAATAGAATTTTCATTTGAAAGAAATTTTTGTTTAATCGAATTAAAAACAACTTGAATTTCTACTCAGTAAAATTTGTAGATAACCGCATTTTTATTTGCTTGAACTATCGTAATTAAAAGAATTTTTATTTAAAACACTTTTTAAGATTGGAAGAATTTTTATTCAAATTCTAGAATTACACTTAAGGAGATTATTAGTCTTTTGCAAATGTTTTGATTAAAATTAAACTAAAAAAATGAAATTTCCATTTGGTCGAAATTGCAAATTGCAAAAAAAATTTTAGCACAAAGCTCAAAATTGACCAATCACATTTTTTTAAAAATAGTGTTTCTGATTGATCAATTCGAAAATTCGCGATGTAATATTTTGACAATTTTCAATTTCCGATTTGAATTCGGCTCATTTAATATTCCGTTAAATAAAAATTGCGCTTTATAAAACTTTGTTTTAATATAAAATCTATTCAATCAAAAATTCGTTGAAATAAAAATTTTACTGAATAATAATTTATTGCAATAAAAATTCTACTGAATAATAATTTGTTGAAAGAAAAATTGTTTCAAATAAAAAGAGGGTTAAATAAAGAAATTTTCTTAATCGAAAATTTAGTTAAATAAAAAATTCGGTTGCATACAAATTTTTTTAGTACAATTCTACTAGTCTATTATAAATTCAAGTTAATTTACATTCGACCAATAAAAAATTCTGCAAAAAGAATCTGTAAATTATAAAATTATTCTATCACTATGAAAATATTCCTAAGGTTTTGAATGTTCACACGACATTTTTTTTTAATTCAAAATTTTATTACGATGTCATTACGTCACACATTAAAAATAATTTATAACTTAAATTTTCTAAATATTTAATTTAAAGTTTTTAATTTAATTATCAAAATAAAAGCAATTTCAAAAAAATATTCATTTTGACAAAAAATTTCGTTTCTATTTTACTATTTTTCAACTAAAATAATTACTTCCAGCTTCTTTCTAAAATCATTTCTAAATTTAATTCTACCTGTAAAGTAAAACATACTTATGCAAATACGACTATTGAAATTTTAATAGCATAAAATTTAATATCATCGTCTTAAATTTAACATATATCTTTCATTTAATAAACATATATCTGAATCGAATCAAAAATAAATCATATTAAAATTTTAACATAAAATTGACTACATATTCAGTGATAAATAATTTATTCAAGTTCATTAAAAATTGAATGGAAAATTTTCCATTCTCACTTATTTACTCAATTCTAAAACAAAAATCTCGTTTAACTAAAGTTGAAATTCTTCTTTTAGAATTAACAAAATTCACTGACAAGAAATATATGCAAATTCAATTTAAAGATAAGATGAATAACGAATGATTAACCATCCAATCTCGATGGGGTTGATTCGCATTCGCGAATGAACTACAGTGACACGAGGTCAGGAAACCGCGATCGAACCACAGGATAATATATTCACGTTGAACGGGAAATTTTGAATTGATCATGTCGAGCAGAGGTTACATAAATGGATGCTGCAAATCTAAAAGAAATAAGTCCATGCAATGTCATAAATCTATAATGCCATATTATAATAATTA